TGGACAATTTCAACAGAAAGGAGGAAAGCATGAAAATGAACAAAATCTGGCTACCAGTATTTAAAAAACTCTTAAAATTACAACAGCAAAACAACAGAGAGGAAACAATCTGGGACAGCTAATCACCTCTCAACAAAAGATTCCCCCAGGCACTAACAAGCCACACCAAAAAACTGCCAGGCTAATCAAGGTGATCAGTTGAAACATTCACACCTAACAGAGAAGAGTCCTTTGTCCCACCCTGGTCATTCCACAGATATATAAACCCATTTTCCTAGTTCCAACAGACCTCACTACCTCTGAGGGTGCTTGCCATAGATGTAGGCAAAACATCAGGAGAGAATGCCTCTAGAACATGGCCATGTAGCCCGAAAAAACATGCAACAACCCAGGCATCGAACTACTGTCGCTCTTGTGTCTATTCGGAGCACCCCCTCGAGGACAGTTGTCAAATCAGATTACTACAAAAGTTTATTGTATACGTGTGTTGAGAAAGACCAATCAAGGAAACATTCTTGTAGGAAAAAAGGAAGAGAGTTACACACAAAATAGAAAGCTGCACTTGTCTTAAAAAACTGCTTTTGTCAAAAACGAGATAAAGTGCTGAATAAGATGAAATAGCGGCATCTGAAGTCAAGGCACCACCGTCCACAAAATTCATATTAGTTTCTTTTTTTAAAATGATCGGTACCAGGACAATTAAATGAATGGTCGTTTGGTAGGCAAAGGGACTGAAAGTACGGCCATATCCACTTTAGCTGAAAACTCTTCCTCAAGTGCTGCCTAGAAAAAGGAAGAGAAGAAACAGGAGCCATATTTAGTACTTGGAAGACTCCAGCTTTTTAACATAATGGCTATCAAATGAGAAAGGAAATCACAATAACAGAAATATAATGAACAAATTATAGGGTTATATGTTTGTTTGTTTTTCAATACAGAAATTTTATTCCACGTAACACAATAAAAATATTCAACTTGATGAGAGAAAAAATCTGACATCAGCAAAAATCAATATTTGTTAACATACAAACTGGTCTGCAATAAATATAAGAGACACCAATTGTGCTGCAGCAGATCTAAAAGAAGTTCCATAGTTCTTGGGAAAAAAAGTTAAAATGTAAGAGACTGTGGTGCAGCTGGCTGGGAGTCAGCTGCATTAAGATCACTGCTGACCGAAAGGTCATGAGTTTGAAGCCAGCCCAGGTCGGAGTGAGCTTCCGATCGTTGTGTAGCTTGCTATTGACCTTTGCAGCCTGAAAGACAATTGCATCTGTCAAGTAGGAAATTTAGGTACTGCTTTTGCGGGGAGACTAATTTAACTAATTTATGACACCATAAAATCTCAAGCAGCAAGCAAGCAAAAAAATGAGGAAGTGTCACAAATGGACAGTGAAGCGACAGCTCCCCTGGTGGCCAGAATACCCCCATGAAAGCTGGAAAGTTAAATAGCCTCTGTGTGTCTGTCTATATATGTTGTATGTCTATGACATTGAATGTTTGCCATGTATATGTACGTTGTAATCCGCCCTGAGTCCCCTGCAGGGTGAATAGGGCAGAATATAAATACTGTAAATAAATAAATAAATAATCCAAATTTAGATAGTAGTGGACCAACTTACATACTTAACACAACACAGAAACAAATTATCTTTTTTTAAAAAAGCAATTAACAGAAAAACTTGGCTTATAGTAGCTGTTATGTTTAGCAGTCATATGTTGTTGTTTTTTAAAAATAAAAACCCTACTTATCTAACTTCTAACAAATACTCCTACAGTATTGTTTAATAGGTAAAGGTTTCTCTTTGACATTAAGTTTAGTCGAGTCCAACTTTGGGGATGGTACTCAGCTCCATATCTAAGCCGAAGAGCCGGTGTTGTCCATAGACACCTCAAAGTTAATGTGGCCAACATGACTGCATGGGGCGCAGTACCTACTGATTAAGCGGTACCTACTGATCTCACATTTGCATGTTTTCAAACTGCTAGGTTGGCAGAAACTGGGGCTAATAACGGGAGCTCACCTCGCTCCCCAGAATCGAACCACCAACCTTTCGGTCAGCAAGTTCAGCAGCTCAGCGGTTAACTCAAAACCCAGAGAAATATAATATATGTCATACTGAAAAAAGGGGCTGGTCCTTTCTACGTCGGCACAACCCTCTTCTAATATCTTTCAGGAATGATTCCCCTTTTGAAGACAGACAAAAAAAATACTCACCAGCTCCCTCTTTGCTTCTTCAATTTTCACTTTAGCAAGACTACAGCTCTGGGAAGAAAACAGAAACATTTAGGCAAACACAGGGCTTCCCTGCTTTCCCTTCTGAATGTTTGCAAATCAAGGACATTTTCCAGGAGGTGCTTCTTCAGCGTTTTAAGACCGAAAGGATGCACTGATTCAGCACGTTCGTTGAGACCAGCAGCAGAAACCTTTCCATGAAATATGCAATAATGGCAACTCCAACAGATGGCTCAGAATAAACAACATGTCACCATCTGGAGGTCTTCTGCTCCCTAAAGCTGCCTTGTTTATCTCCATACTGCCACCTTCCTGTCCCTTTCGCATTCATCCTCAGAACCAGCTTTACCCATTAAGCTTTTGGCATCCTCTCTTCTAGCTGTATCTCTACTGATGAAAGGCGGCTGAAGGAGGAAGACACAAAACTTACATACTTTCTTCCTCTACCATGGAGAAAATGATAGAATATTACCTTCTTAAGGCACATAAATGCCAAAATGTAAATAAATGCAGCTCACAGACCAGAGGCATCACATTGCTTTATCGTTTTGTGGCAGGTGCCTCCTGCTTGACCAGAAGCAGAAAACACTCTGAAAATCGAGGCTCATGCAGTTCTAAAAACTGGAACCAGCATATATAGCTGGCATTGCCCAAGTCTCCGAGTGGCCACTATTTATTTATCATGTCATCAGCAACCCGACAGTTGTATTACATTTTTAACAAAAACAAACAACCAAACAGACAAAATACAAAATTTGTGAGTTTGGTAGTTGATTAAATGTCCTTTGACCAGTATCTGGCCACTTGGAGTGCCTCTGGTGTTGCCGCAAGAAGGTCCTCCATTGTGCATGTAACAGGGCTCAGGTTGCATTGCAGCAGGCGGTCAGTGGTTTGGTCTTCTCCACACTTGCATGTCGTGGATTCCACTTTGTAGCCCCATTTCTTAAGATTGGCTCTGCATCTCGTGGTGCCAGAGCACAGTCTGTTCAGCGCCTTCCAAGTCACCCAGTTTTCTGTGTGCCCAGGGGGAGTCTCTCATTTGGTATCAGCCATTGATTGAGGTTCTGTGTTTGAGCCTGCCACTTTTGGACTCTCGCTTGCTGGGGTGTTCCAGCGAGTGTATCTGTAGATCTTAGAAAACTATTTCTTGATTTAAGTCGTTGACGTGCTGGCTGATACCCAAACAAGGGATGTGCTGGAGATGTCTCTGCCTTGGTCCTTTCACTATTGGCTGCTACTTCCCAGCATGTCAGGTGGTGCAATACTGGCTAAACAGTGTAATTTCTCCAGTGGTGTAGGGCGCAGACACCGTGATAATGCAGCATGTCTCATTAAGAGCCACATCCACTGTTTTAGCGTGGTGAGATGTGTTCCACACTGGGCATGCATACTCAGCAGCAGAGTAGCATAGTGCAAGGGCAGATGTCTTTACTGTGTCTGGTTGTGATCCCCAGGTTGTGCCAGTCAGCTTTCGTATGATATTGTTTCTAGCACCCACTTTTTGCTTGATGTTCAGACAGTGCTTCTTGTAGGTCAGAGCATGGTCCAGAGTGACTCCCAGGTATTTGGGTGCGCTGCAATGCTCCAGTGGGATTCCTTCCCAGGTAATCCTCAGAGCTCGGATGCTTGTCTGTTCTTAAGGTGAAAGGCACAAGTCTGTGTTTTAGATGGATTAGGGATCAACTGGTTTTCCCTGTAACAGGCAATAAGAGCACCTAGAGCTTCAGAGAGCTTCTGTTCTACCATCTCAAAGCTCCCTGCTTGAGCAGTAATGGCATGATCATCAGCATAGATGAAACTCTCTGTCCCTTCTGGCAGTGGCTGGTCATTTGTGTAGATGTTGAACATGGATGGAGCAAGCACGCTCCCCTGAGGCAGGCCGTTCTTCTGTTTCCATCATCTACTTCTCTGGCCCTGGAACTCTTTATCCCTTCTTTCACTTTTCTTTCCCCCATACTTTCCCCCTTTTCTTTCTCTTCCTTTGTTCCATCCTTTTCTTTCTTAACAACCTTGCTTCTTTCCTCCCCTTGCCTTTCTTTTCCTTCTTTCTTGCTTTCCTTCCTTCTTTTCTTCCTTTCCCCTTTCCCCCTTCTCCAGCTCTACGAAGTCCTACCTCACAATGTCTCAATTGCTCTGTGGCTCCCCCCCCCCCCCTTCCTTCCTTCCTTCCTTCCTTCCTTCCTTCCTTCCCCAGCAACATCACAGAGGGTCACTTCACCTAGTAACACTCACCCCTTCACCTACCAACTGCCAATTCAGTGGCATCACAAAAGGTTACTTCACTTAGCAACAGCTTTTGTCATACAAACAAAGACGTTGACTTTTATACAAATATAAAATAGATTAGCAACTACAGTTTGAGTATCCCTTCTGACCATAACTCTTTTGTATTTTGGAATATATATATGCATAGACACACACAAATAGATCAATAGACAGACAGATAGATAGATCATCTCCTACCATTTCACAGACTCTCAGTTGGAGAGTTATGTGAAATGGCAGGAGGCATGGATTCCCCCCTCAGTATTTCTCCAGTATCACATCTCATACACAAACAAGACACAAGGCCGAAGACACAGAAAGGATCTGTGAAATGGTGGCAATTCAAGCATGATGCCCAATGCAAAGCCATGCTTCCCGCTGCTAGACGGACCTTCATGTCTCTCTCCAGCCTGAGTCGCATTCATTAGTTACTTGTGTTTTGAATGAGAAATAATGCTGGAGAAAGACTGAGGCACTAAGAGATGAGCAAGCAAGTGTGATGCAGTGTGGAAGCTGGTGAATTTGTGGGTTTTGGACATATTTGGAATTCTGATTTCCAGATAAGCAAGTATTGTTTCCCACACAGCACCTACTGTAAAACCCCAAATTGGCCAACCATATAATGTGTTTAATTAAAACATTATGCAGTTTTCAGTGTAAAAGTAAGCTCCACTTCCTATTTGGGTTTTCCCACATTCCTTTGTCATCAATGCAGTACTTTTGCCAGGGTTGCCATGCTATTCAGCTATTCACATGTAGAGGACAGAGCTCGAAGACATGAATAAGTGAAAAAGGAGAATAATTACAGGGGGCAGGTCCAAGTAGGACTCCAGTTTCTTTTCCAAAGGTGCAGTTTCCTTCTTTATTTCTGCCAGTTTCTGTGGACAGAACAGAGCAAGTTGTTCATATATTCCACCAAGACTTTTTTCATGAGAAAAAAAGGTAAAATAAATCCAATGAGGATAGAGGACTTGGAGCCTTCTGCTAACATTAGAGAAGTAATGAGAGCTAGTTTTCCTTCCTCCAGGAAACTCACAACCAAGTACCATCTGGGTAAATGTCTGTTCCTCTCAGCCATCCTGGTTAAATGCCAACCAGCATGTGTCATTTGAAAACAGCGCCACTATCCATGGCGTAACGCTCACCTCCGAAAGCTTCACTAGAGATGCATGTGTCAGGGAAGCCTCCAGCCCACTTGCAGACAGTTGCTTCTGCAGGGAGGAAAAGGAAAAAAGGCAGGAGAGAATGGTTCTGGAACATGGCCATACAGTCCGGAAAACTCACAGGAACTCAGTGTTTCCAGCCATGAAAGCCTTCAACAGCACAGGAGAAAACAATGACTGTTGCTCAGTAGCAAAATTCAGACAGTAAACATTACAAAATGAAACATTTCAGAAGAAGAATGAAGAATCATTTCACTATTTCCTATCTTCCATATACAGGCAGTCTCCGAGTTACAGACATCTGACTTACTAATGATTTATAGTTAAGAATGGGGGTGGGACAACAGGAAGTGAGAGAAATCTACCCCTGAGAAGGGAAATTCACCCCTGAAAGAGTTATCATGGGGAAAAGGTGTGTCTGCTGAAGCTTTATCCCCAATCTTCATTTCTACAACAAGCCATTTTTTTCAAAATCCAGTTATCACAGGGACAGAAAGTGAGGGGAAATCTTTTAAACGGGGGCACAGACAGCAAAACAAACACCACAGGGGTATTAACCCTTTCCTATGCTATCCAAAGCTAATACAGATATATATTTGGCTGGAGTGAAACTTTAAAAATGCACTTGTTCTAACTTACAAATTCAACTTAAAACAAACCTAAAGAAATTGGTGACTGCCTGCATACTCAGGTATTAGTCAACTTTATGTATACGTTCAAGGTAATTTTGGAGCCAAAATTATGGATTTTTATTTTAATGCAATTTTCCTGCTTCTTGGAAGGGGGTTGGACTGGATGGCCCATGAGGTCTCTTCCAACTCTTTGATTCTATGATTCTAAGTCAAGGCTGATTTCCAGACAGGACATCTCCTCCTGGCCACCACTGACATTTCCCCACTCAGACATTAATTAATAAAATGACAATAAAATATTTTTGTTTTATTGTATTATTCAACTCTCCTTTAGCCTCGAGGCGGAGCACAACATAATTAATTACGTCTATACAATCACATATTGAAGCATAGTTTTAGAAAGTCAGAAGTGGTGCTGTGGTAGAGAGCAGAAGGGGTCATTTCTTCTTTTAGGTTCTGTTGGGATAGACTACGGGCCCTTCCACACAGCCTCATAATCCAGAATATCAAGGAAGATAATTCACAATATCTGCTTTGAACTGGGTTATCTGAGTCCACACTGCCATATAATCCAGTTCAATGTGGATTTCATATAGCTGTGTGGAAGGGGCCTCAGCTTTCACTATTCTACTCACAAAAGGGGACATTTCCCCTTATGAAAAGGATTAAATTAGTTATTCATTACTAAATTGATCCATGATATTTTAGTAAGAGAAACTGTGTAGTTCACACATGGGCAAACTTAGACCCTCCAGGTGTTTTCGACTTCTAACTGGCTGTGAGGAATTGTGGAAGTTGAAAGCCGAAACATCTGGAGAGCCGAAGTTTGCTCATGCCTACCCTAGGGTGACCATAGGTTACTAATAACATGAAGGCACACAACAACCCAAAACAAAGCACACTACCAGCTGTAAGGAACTGTGGAAGTTGAAATGCAAAACACGTGGAGGGCTGAAGCTTACCCATGTTTGTCTTAGGGCAAATCACCACGGGAATTTCTGGGACTGAGAGTGGGTGACTCAACCAAAGAAACCCAGTGCATTTCAATTCCTGTGCAGGTATCGAATCATGGTTTCCAGAGTCATAGTCCAACACTCAAACCATCATGCTGCACTGGACACAGAAACCTGTTTTAGACCAAGTAAAGCCTCTTGTTTCATCTCCCAGGGGCCATTTGCTCTGACTTGCAGTGGCTTCTCGGGATCTGATCTTTCCAAGCCTGATCTATCTCTATCGAACATCCCTCCACTGACAATGCTGAACTGAGCATCTTTCACAAACAGAGGTGTTCTCTCATAGAAAATGATAAGTCTTTATCAGGCTTTGAATCTATGCACAGTAGTTATCTAATGTTTACGTATGTTGTTGTAATGTTGTTTTAAATTGTTTTTAATTGATTTAATTGTTGTTGTTCGGGAATGGAATAATGCCACTCATGTAAGCCGCCCTTAAGTCCCCTTTAGGGTGAGAAGGGCAGGATATAAATGTTGTTGTTTGTTCATTCAGTCACTTCCGACTCTTCGTGACCTCATGAACCAGCCCATGCCAGAGCTCCCTGTTGACCGTCACCACCCCTAGCTCCTTCAAGGTCAAGCCAGACACTTCAAGGATACCATCCATCCATCTTGCCCTTGGTTGGCCCCTCATCATTTTCCCTTCAATTTTCTCCAGCATCATTGTTATAAATTAATAAATAAGTCTTCCAGTACAACATTATGGTCAACATTAGGGGGGCGGGGGAGAATGGACTCTAGAAACTGAAGGACCTAGGGATTCCATATTAACTCACAAAAGTGAAACCCGCAAATGTAGAGTGCTGACTATACTAGTAAAATGTGGAGTTCCTAGCTTTTTTCATAATTTGCATCTTCTGTCGCAATACTAGTATAAGGTTGCTTGTGCTAACCTCTGATGCTTCAATTCTGGATTTCATATCCTCCGATTTGTCTTTCAGGAACTTCATGTTTTGGGTCCGGCTCTCAGCCTTCGCTTTTTCTACCATCAAAAGTTCTTCTGTTTTGATGATGTCACTGGAAAACAGTTATATATTTTCTGCAACAAGAAGTCTCATAAAACATACAACAACGGATTTATTACCAGCCTTTCCTCACAGCTTGATAGCTATGAAGGGGACAGAACACAAACTGCATCAAGAGCTGTGCTGGCTAACCCAGAACAACACAAGAATTTGGGACTGTACTTTGTACATCGTACAAGACAAAAAAATCCAAAATTTTAATTCTTGCCCAAGAAAGCATCAAATACTGAGCCTGTGATCAATTCCAGACCCCCAGCACAACTCATGTGCCTTTGTGAGAGGGAGCGTTCCCTTCCATAAGAAGAAAGAGACTAAAGGAAAGAGGTTGAGAGTCCTAATGAGAGCAACCTAAAATGAACAGAGGTCAAGGAAAAGGGCCCATACCTACCCTGGAAGAGCTTTTACAGCTTTTACAGATTGAAAAGGCAGACCTGGAGGTACAATACTATAGCAAATAGTGTTTTTAAGGTTTCTCTTGAAGGTCTGCAAAATTCAGCACAACAATCAAAGATAAGGCCATGCAGCTAAACTTTCCTACAGGATAAAGGAATATTGGTTTGGATGATATTTCAGGGAACTTCAAGGCCTGGATTTTCACAACAGGTTGAGAGCCTTGCTGCGTAATAATGACAAGTCCTCCTTGTATTTATTTAGTTATTTATTGAATATTTATATTTATATCCCACTATCTGTCTGGAGATACAAGGCTGGTGTACAATAAAATCAAATTAAATAATTTAAACCATCCTTAAAAGCAAAACAAATGTTAAACAAGTTAACGAGCTAAAAGGCAAATTAAAACTGATTGAAATCATAGAATCATAGAGTTGGACGAGAAATATTGCATCCAAAGCACCCCTGACAGATGGCCATCCAGCCTCTGTTTAAAAGCTTCCAAACAAGGAGCCTCCACCACACTCCAGGGAAGAGAGTTCCACTGTTGAACAGCTCTCACAGTCAGGAAGTTCTTCCTAATGTTCAGATGGAATCTCCTTTCTTGTAGTTTGAAGCCATTGTTCCACATCCTAGTCTCCAGGGAAGCAGAAAACAAGCTTGCTCCCTCCTCCCTGTGGTTTCCCCTCACATATTTATACATGGCTATCATGTCTCCTCTCAGCCTTCTCTTCTTCAGGCTAAACATGCCCAGCTCCTTAAGCCGCTCCTCATAGGGCTTGTTCTCCAGACCCTTGATCATTTTAGTCACCCTCCTCTGGACACATTCCAGCTTGTCAATATCTCTCTTCAAATAATTTAAAACTATTGAAAACTATATACACTTATAGGTCTTTGTAAAATCAAATAGTCCCCAAAGGTCATTAAAAAGCAGCCATCTTTTAACAACCTGCAACATTCAAGAAGAAATAGTTTCAGCATCTCTCATCTGTAATTCTGAAATCCAAAATACCTTGAAATCCATTATTGTCTACATGGGTGGTATCAGAAACACCTTAGTTTCTGATACAAACTTTATTCCATGCACAAAATCATTTAAATATTGCTTCAATTTACCTTCAGGCTATAAACATAAGGTATATAAGGAACGAACATGAATATTGTGTTTAGACTTCGGTCCCATCTCAAAGATATTGGCAACGGTGGTCCACACTCTCGTTTCTCGTTACACGTAGGATAGACTACTGCAACGCACTCTACATTGGGTTGCCTCTGAAGACTGCTCAGAAGCTTCAAATAGTCCAACGAGAGGCAGCTAGGTTAATAACTGGGATGACATACAGGAAGCATACAACTCCCATGTTACGCCAGCTTCATTGGCTGACAGTTTGCTAATGGGCACAATTCAAAGTGCTGGCTTTGGCCTATAAAGCCCTAAACGGCCCCGGCCCAAATTACCTGTCCGAACGCATCTCCCCCTATGAACCATTGCGAAAATTAAGATCTTCCGGGGAGGCCCTACTCCCGCCATTGTCACAGACACGATTGGTGGGGATGAGAGACAGGGCCTTCTCAGTGATTGCTCCCCAGCTATGGAACTCCCTTCCCAGTGAGATCAGGTCAGCCCTCTCTCTCCTGTCCTTTAGAAGGACGGAAGAAACTTGGCTGTGGGACCAAGCTTTCAGGACAGGGCAATAAAGCAGTAATAGGAAAGATTACCAGACCAATTAGATTTGACGTGGATGACTAAGACAGTTTTAAATTATGTATTTTAAAATTTTGATAAATGTTTTTAATGTTTATGTATGTATATAAGAATTTGTGTCCCGGGATTGAATGTTTGCCATATATATGTTGTCCGCCCTGAGTCCCCTTTGGAGTGAGAAGGGTGGAATATAAATGTTTTAAATAAATAAATAAATATTCCATCATGTACATACACACAAATAAAGATATTTCAAAATCCCCCCCCCCCCAAAAAAACCCCCAAAATCCAACCATTTTCCATGAAGGAAAACCCAATCTGGTCCCAAACATTCCAGATAAGACCCTCAACCTGTATTGTATAACCAGGGTGTTAAAGCAAAGAAGGTACCCAACAGTGCTTACTCTTTTAGTAAAAAGCAGCAAGCTTCAAATTACAAGTTACACCCTGTAGTAGCAAGAACTGTCATGCATATATAAACGAAACACAGCCTGATCGACTCATGCAAAAAATCAAAAGTCATAGAATTCTACTTGAATCGGAGAACACGAAAACAAGATAATAAAATGCACTAGTATTAAGTACTTACTCCTGAAGACGTTTCTCCAGCACTAGGGCGGATGTGAGCTTTTTCCTCAGGTTGCTCAGCTCAAACTCCATGTCTTTGTTTTTTGATTCTGCTGCATGCAAATCTGAAGTCAGGTCATTGATGGCAGGAATGAAGCTGCAGACAGTAATGTTATGTCAACTATTTTTTTCCTTCAAAGTAACATTTGATAGAGCAGTGCTAGGACAGAGAGATCTAACTATTGGGCTCCTCAGCACTGAGGAAACTTTCAAAACCAGAAACGTTTCATAAGATGCTTAATACCCTTTGAGGGAGAGTACTGTATATACTCAAGTATAAGTCGACCCGAATATAAGCCGAGGCATCTAATTTTACCACAAAACAACAGGAAAACTTATTGACCCGAGTATAAGCCGAGGGTGGGAAATGCAGCTGCTACTGGAAAATTTCAAAATAAAAATAAATACCTATAAAATTACATTAATTGAGGCATCAATAAGTTAAATGTTTTTGAATGTTTACATCAAACTGTAATTTAAGATAAGACTGTCCAACTTGATTAAATCATTATTCTAATCATCTTCAGTGTAAATGTGCTTACATATCCTTCCAATAATAACAGAGTATAATAATAATAATAATTAAATCCAGCATATATACCTCGTTTGCTGTATAATACTGTGTTTTTGTGTCAGTATAATAATAGTAATAGAGTAAAACAATGGTAATGTAATAACAGTAATAACAGAGTAAAATAATAAATGCAGTAATAATAACAATAAAGTAAAATAATAAATGCAATAATAATAAAGAGTAAAATGATAAATAATACTAATATTAAATAGAGTAAAATAATAAATGTAATAAAATAATAAGAGTGAAATAATGTAAATATAATAATAATAAATATAGTAAAATAATAAATGTAATAAAATAATAACAACAAAATAAAATAATAAATAACCTTTTATAAGCCGCGGGGAACTTTTTCAGCCTAAAAAAGGGGCTGAAAAACTAGGCTTATATTTCAATATATACAGTATATACTTCTGCATCTGAAGTACAGCCTGCACTCCACATTCTCTGTGAATAAGGAGCACAGGATCCCAGTAAAAGTGAAAAATCACAAGTAAAGAAATGACTTTAAAAATGAGAATACCTCTCCAGGAATTTCTAGGTTTTCCAGTACAACTAAAGGGTCAACATCCATTGGAAACTGTCCATAGAATCAAACTGGAGGGCCAAGAGATTCCCAGGGAGGTGAGAACTACAGTTTTGGAATTTTTTTACTGCACCAAGGCATGATGGTTAAAGTGGTATTAAACAACATTAATTCTATAGTTTAGAAGATGCACCCTATGCTGCCTAAGCACTGCACAAGCTACCTGGCCAGCGCACCACTCCCACACATGATCAAGCCATTCTGATCAAAAATCTCTATCAATTTCCATGTGATGGAAGCCCCTTCTTTGAAGGCTTTTAAAAAGAGGTCGTCTGTCAGGGGTGCTTTGATTGTGCTTTCCTTGCATGGCAGGGGGTTGGACTACATGGCCCATGTGGATCCTATTATTCTATTGTTATTGTTGTTGCTATTAATTAATTAATTAATTAGCTTCATTTCTACCTAGCCTTTCTCACTCAAGGCAGCTCACAATTCCAGCAAAAATTCAATGCCGGTAAAAACCAGTACTAACAATAAAAAATAAACAATTAAAAACTATTAACATCAGTATCTATATAAATAAAAATGCAATGTTCGTTTGTAAGATTAAAATAACTCAAAAAACAGTGGACGAATTGATACCAAATTTGAACACAAGACACCTCTCAGGCCAACAAATGACAATCACTCATAAAAACACTGAACAACACAATGGAAAAGCCTTAAAAAGGCAAAAAAAACCGGAAGTGTGGTAACATCCATTAAGAAGAAGGGCGGAAGAGAAGAGTGATAAAAATAATAAAATCAAACAAAAAGACTTCAAGGAAGGGAGGGAGGGAGTGATTGAAGGTACAGTAGACAGAGCACGGAGGAGGAGTGGTGGAGAATATAGACCGGTAGAAGACAGAAGGGCACAGAATTTAAAAGTTAAGAAAGTAAAGTGACCAACAGGAGTAAAATTGAAGACTGAGCAGGGAGAATTGGCTATTGGTGGTAAAAAATCTGAGAAAGAGGAAGATGGCAACTCCAAAGGCAAAGCAAGACCCAACTTTAAAAGTAAAACAAGACCCAAAAATAGATCAATCGTCAACACAAACAAGAAATCCTCAAGGACCACAAGAATTCAGTTTGAAAGATGTGATAAAAGAAATTCAAAAACTGGCAGTAAAACAAGATAACTTTCAAACCTCACTGGAGAAAGAAATGAAAGAATTAAACCAAAAACAAGAAATGCATAACAAGGAGATGCAAGATAAATTTAATGAATTCAAAACTGAATTAAAAAAAGAATTTAAAGAAGAAATTGGCAGAGTGAATAAAGACATGTCTAAGTTGGAGGAAGAAATAAAAGTTTTAAAGGACAAGGATAAGGAAAGGGAGAATCTCCAGAAAATGCTACATCAGAAAATGCACACATGGGAAAGGCAAAGGGAGAAATTGGAAAAAAATCAAGAACTTTTGGAATTCAAGGATCTAGAGAAGCAACTCAGATTAAGAAACATGCAGGAGAACCCGAAAGAAAATACAAGACAATTGATTTTAGAAACTCTGGCAACCTTGTTAAAAAGCTCAGTGGAATCTTTAGAAAGGGAAGTAGACCAAATTTATCGTCTCCCTACTAATTATTCAAAAAAGAATAAAACACCAAGAGATATTATAGTGAAATTTGGGAAGAAAAAATGTAGAGATGAAGTGTTATATGCCAACAGTAAATCCCCACTGCAATTTAATGGAGAAAAAGTTGTGGTACTAAAAGAACTCCCACAAGTAACTTTAATGAAAAGAAGACAATACTTTTTCCTCACAGATGAATTAAAAAAAAGAAACATAAGATTCAGGTGGGAGAAGACTGAAGGCATTATGACAACCTTCAAGGAACAAAAGTTTTGGCTGACCTCAACAGAAAAAGCAAAGGCCTTCTACGAGAAATTAATGAAAGACCAAGAGCCAGAGGACCCTGCAAACAAACCTTCAAGCTACGAACGTAAACTAGGTACAAGAACAACACCAAAGAAGAAGTCCACCACTCCAAGAAAAGGATAGAAAAGTAAGAGAGCAAGATTAAACTCCCTGGACTTTGATACTCTGGGAAAGGATAATGATGACAAGGTAACTTCCAATCCAAACAAGTATTACCTACTGGGAATTATAGACGATGACATAATTTTAAATCCAAATGAGGATACTTTATTCAGGCATATGACAACGGTCACCAGAAGACTTTATGCGAATGTATGGAAACAGAAAGAAATATCAGAGAAGCATTACTGGGAAAAAAGGAAAAAACAAACAAATTTAAATGAAACTAAAGACATGGACATATTACTTGTTTTTTTTCTTAATTAAAAAGGAATACAAGCAACCCAGATAAACTAACAATTTGGTCAATAATTAATAATTGTTGACTATAGGGAAAATAGACATAAAGACAAGTAACTGGACTTAGCTCACAACTAAGAAATAAGAAAATGGATTATATAAATACAGACAAAAAGATATAAAAACGGGCAGAATTAGAAGGAAGTCATTTTTTTTCTTTTTTCTTTTTTTCCTTTTTTTCTTTTTCCTTTTTTAGGGTCCTTTTTTTGGGACCTGAATTTTAAAAAAAATTTTTTTTTTAATTTTTTAGTACAATTTTCCTACTTTCCTATCTTCTTGAAAATATTCACCCTCTTTCCTTGTACTCTATACTATCTCAATAAAATAAAAAAGTATTTCAAAAAAAAAAAAAAGGCAAAAAAAACCCAAAAAAAACATTACAATGCATGTGCAAAACCACATATATATACACAAATATATACACACATACACATATATACACACACAAAACACATATACACAAACTGGGCCACAGAAACGTGTGGCAGAGGACGGCTAGTACAAATTTAAAAAGCATTTAGAGTGCTTAGGTCAATATTAATAAAAGGGCCAAAAAAGCGTGGAAACAAATTCATGGGGTAATCCAAGAAATTCATAAAACAGGAATCAACTTCAAGGCTGAACTTCCATTACAAAGAGTATTGGATGATCAAATAAAAAAGGAATGCGAGAGAATACTGCAATACATGTTAACAGCGACAAGAATTGTGTATGCTCAAAAGTGGAAAACAACAGAGATACCAACAGTAAAAAAATAACTGGGCAGTAAAGAGGTGGGAAATAATAGAAATAGACAAATTAACAATCTTGTTGAAGGTTAAGTCATTGGACACATTCTCAGGAAAATTGGAGTTATTTATATTATTATAAATTATTATTATATAAAATATTATTATATTATTAAATAAAATTGTTATTATTTTATTATTGTGGTTATTATTTTATGTGTCACCCATCTGGGTGGGGCTAATTGGAGCTGCATTCCAAGCCTTCTGGAGATGCATCTATACTGTGGAATTAGTGCAGTTTGATACCACTTTAACTCCCATGGCCCAAACACTATGGAACCACAAGAGCTGTAGTTTTATATGTTTTTTAGCTTTCTCTAGCAAACCGTAAATCCCAGGACTCTACAGCACTGAGCCATGGTTGTCAAAGTGGTGTCAAACCACATTCATTCTACAGTACAGATGCACCCTGGTAATCCTAGATTTCCTCTCCTGAACTACAGCATTTAACACAAGCCTATCCAGATTTACCTTGCGAGGGATGTGTCCTTCGTTTCAAGGGCCAGAGCTACATCCACCAAGTTGTTCAGGTAGCTGGTGCTCATTTTTGACAAGCTGCTGAAAGAAAGGTTTAGGCTCTCAGTCAGAAGGTCCTGTAGATAGCTACCTGCAAAAGCAATGAAAGATTTGAGATACATTTGCTTTGACTGAAGAGGATCAAGCAGGGCACTTTTTACTAGAGAGACAACCTCTCCTCAGTTATTATCTATATAAATAAAAATGTAATGTTCGTTTGTGGGATTAACATAACTCAAAAACTGCTGGACAAATTGCCGCCAAATTTGACCACAAGACAACTACTAACCTAATGAGTAACCATCACTCAAAAAATTGATTTTGTCATTTGGGAGTTGTAATTGCTGGGATTTCTAGTTCGCCTACAATCAAAGAGCATTCTGAACTCCACCAATGATGGAATTGAACCAAACATTGCACACAGGACTCCCATGACCAACAGAAAACACGAGAAGGGTTTGGTGAGCATTGACTTGAGTTTGGGAGTTGTAGTTCACCTACATCCAGAGAGCACTGTGGACTCAAGCAATGATGGATCTGGACCAAACTTGGCACAAATATTCCATATGCCCAAATATGAACACAGATGGAGTTTGGAGGAAACAGACCTTGACATTTGGGAGTTGTACTTACTGGGATTTATAGTTCACCTATAATCAAAGAGCATTCTGAACCCCACTAACAATAGAATTGGAACAAACTTCCCACACAGAACCCCCATGACCAACAGAAAATACTTAAGGCCATCCAGTGTAACTCCCTTTACCAGAGCAAGATCATGTAATCCTGACAAAGAGCCATCCAGCCATAGATATAGATATATATATTTCACACACAGAGAGATATAGTATCATAGATTTGAAAGGGACCCCTAAAGAAGGACAATTATGTTGCATGTTCCAGAGTTGGCAAACCAGACAATCTCTACATCAACACTGACAAAGAAACAGCAAGAAATACTGTTTACCCACAAGCAGAAAGAAATTACATATATTAAAAGCCAACACTTTCTCATTACTTTATTTTCCAGATCATCAGACTAGCATGGAGTGGCTAGTTAATAATAATAAGCAAGAGAGAAATAAAAAGGGCTTTGTTTATAGTGAAACCCCATTGCTGGAACACTCTCAGCTCTTATCTCACCATCAGATTCATATTCAGCCGCTTTCTGGTTTGTGTCTTCAATTAATAAGCTGACATCTCCATCTCGGGACTCGTTGCATTCAGCCAACTCATACAGAATGTCTATTGTCCGTGTGTCTGCTTCGAAGGAGGGGATCGGCTGGTCTCCAAATGACTTTTTCAACCACGGTGCAACCTGCCATGGACGAAGAAGAGGAACAAGATGAGTGGCCCCACCTATCTAGATCCTCTAGTCCTGGCATGGGTAAACTTGGTCCTTCGAAGTGTTTTGGACTTCAACTCCCACAATTCATAAAAGTCCAAAACACCTGGAGGGCCAAAGTTTTTCTGTGCCTGCTGTAGACCAATGCAGACGAATACAGCCATGTCCTTGAATAAATGATCAAGGGTCAGGAGAACAAGCCCTATGAGGAGTGGCTTAAAGAGCTGGGCATGTTTAGCCTGCAGAAAAGGCGGCTGAGCACAGGCATGAGGAAGGCCACATATCAATATGTGAGAAGTCATAGGGAGCAAGCTTTTTTTCTCCTGCCCTGAAGACTAGGACACAATGGAACAATGGCTTCAAACTACAGGAAAGGAGATTCCACTAGAACATTAGGAAGAACTTCCTGTGAGAGCTGTTCAGCAGTGGAACTCTCTTTCTGCCCCGGAGTGTGGTGGAAGCTCCTTCTTTGGAGGCTTTTAAGCAGAGGCTGGATGGCCATCTATCGGGGGTGCTTTGATTGCGATTTTCCTGCCTCTTGGCAGGTGGCAGGACTGGATGGCCAATGAGGTCTCTTCCAGCTTTATGATTTTATGAATGTTCATTCCCAATTTATTAGTGTAGGACTTGAATATATGGATGTTCCGTGGTGCTTTTTGCTAGGAAATTCCTTGGACAACTGGCCCGTTAGGACCTCCCCCCACGCAAAAAAATCTTGTCGTCAAGCACTTTACGATTATTATAATCAAATCCTTAATAGTAAATCATTCTTATCCTCATCGCTGCTATATGATATTTGCATTTTACACATTAGTTCTGTCCTCTAATGGTGTGGCACCAGTCTGTCCACCCACAATGAGACACTGAACTATGCTATTGGTTGTTGGTTATTTTTTATTTCTTTATATTGTATTTGTTGTTGATATGCATTTTAATGTTTTAGCTGCTCTGTTGGGTCTGGCCCCATGTAAGTTGCCCCAAATCCCTTTGGAGAGATGGAGGCGGGGTATAAAAATAAAGTTGTTATTATTATTATTATATATTATTACATCCAGAAAACAGCACAACGTATGAGGCTTGATGTGAGAGGCTGTAGACTCTAACATGAAGTCCTTCAATAAATAGACTTCCTCGTGCCACTTGAAAGGGAAACCACTGTAGCAGATCCTTCAGTAAGGGATGGCTCCGCATCTAGCAAAAGACATAGCTCTGAATCTACCTACCAAAACTACTTAATCCTTGTAAGAGTAAGAAAGTTGGTAATTGTGTTGCACATGAAAAAAAATAGACAAAGGAGGAGATACTCTAGAGGAGGCATGAGCAAACTTCAGCACTCCAGGTGTTTTGGACCACAATTCCTAACAGCAGGTTTATTTATTTCATATCAAAAGCATTGCATAAATTAGTATAAAACTGGTAAAAATAGAAGGAGCACAAGCGGCTAAATATCTTTTTACCAAAAATGGGCAAAACCAACGGCATTATCTGTAGCCTCCAACAATTCTTCCTCTGTACATGAGGCAGGGCACAGTGGACAAGCATACAGATGCGGGGTTGTCTATTCTGCTTCACAGTCACACAAGGTAGAGGATTCCTTTAGGTAGTGCCATTTTGCCAGGTTGTCTTTTGATCTGCCCACTCCGCTTCCAAGTCTGTTCAGGGACTTCCAAGTTGCCCATTTTTGGTTTGCCCCTGGGGGCAGACCCTCATGGGGGAGCATCCAATTGGGATTTCCTGGTTGCCCAGAGTGATACCCTTGCTGCTGCTGGTGGAACATTAAGAGGCGTGGTGGTTCTCATGAAGCTTTTCCTTGATTTGAGTCTACTGGGAGGAGGCTGGTAGCCATGTAGTGGATGGCTTTCACAGTGTTCAACCTTATTTCTCTCACATTTAGCAGCAACTTCCCGTCACACATCGGGGGGCAATGCCAGCTAGCTTGTAGCGTCTAGCATGTGTAGGTTTAAGAAATCCTGTGTTTATTTTGCTTGTTTCATTCAATGCTATGTTCACCTGCTTTGCGTGGGCAGACTTGTGCCAAGTAGGGCAGGCAAACTCGGCAGTTGAGTAAGACAAGGCTAGGGATGATGTTCGTGTTAACTTTGGGTCTGCACCCCATGTGTTGCCAGTAAGTTTCCGCAGGATGTTACTGCGTGTGGCTACTTTGTGCTTGGTGTTCTTGCAGTTTTTCCTATATGTTAGTGTTTGATCTAAGGCAGTGATGGGCAATCTTTTGATCTTGGTGTGTCAAAATTTGCCAAAAACCTGAGCATAACTTGGGTAGAGTGTCTCTGAGAAAAAAAACATAGTTTTGCAATATTTATAGTTTAAATAAGAAAAATGCATAATCTACGCTGAGTTATGGAGTGAACAATGCTCAAACGTGCGGGATGTTAAATTTGCAAATTTAAGGATGGAATTAGATTGGGTCTTATAAGGTGTATTTCTCTGTATGTGGCCACATGTGCCTGAGTGTCATCAAAAATAGCCATGCGTGTCAGTGCTGGCACACGTGTCATAGGTTCACCATCACAGATCTAAGGTGACTTTTGGGAGTTCAGCCTGTGATTGGGTCTAATGATCAGGGTACTCTGGATGTTGGGAATGACAATTAGGTTCATGTAACAAATGATGTTCCTAATGAAGTTGCTACTGATGAAGAATGACAATAGGATTCCTGTTCAAAGCGTCTTTTCTTGACAATAGATGATAAGCTGACATGTATTTATTTATTTACTTTACTTGTATACCGCTCTTCTCAGCCAATTAGGCGACTCAGAGCGGTTAACAATAAGAAGCGGCAAAAATTCAATGCAACACATACAGCCATTTAAAAACAATTGACACATTAACACACTAAGCAATTACCATCAGTGACCATCAATAGCATCAATAACAATTCAATAGCGTCTCATAACTAAAATCATAATCCAAGTTCGTCATTCGTTGTTCCGATTCCTATAATTCATTGTGATTCATTGCACTGCCTATTCAAATGCCTGTTCGAATAACCAGGTTTTAAGTTTCTTCCGAAATGCCATCAATGAGGGGGCTGATCTGATGTCTATGGGTAGGGCGTTCCACAGCCGAGGGGCCACTACCGAGAAGGCCCTGTCCCTCGTCCCCGCCAACCGTGCCTGAGTTGCAGGCGGGATCGAGAGCAGGGCCTCCCCAGAAGATCTTAGAGTCCTGATGGGTTCATAGGCGGAGATGCGTTCGGATAGGTATCTTAAATAATATAAATAATATCTTATGTATATTAAAGTTAAGAGGTATATGGAAACAAAGTGATTTCGATGATGTATGGAGAAAATTTATTGAAAAAGGATTTAAAAAGAAAGAAAAGGAAAGTTACCTCTACAAGAAGAATTGAAATTTTGGGCAGATGATATGTAAAAGCTGTGGGGGGGAGGGGAGCACAGTGGTGAGGGATAGATAATGTGTATAAGCAGAAAAATAACAGTAGATGCCAAAAGTTAAAGTAGATTGTATTGAATAATATGAATCTGCTGTAAAATAAACAAATGTATTAAACTATGATGAAATAATAATAACAACAAAGTTTCCTTTCTTGTTTCATGTTCAGCTTGGGGTTCTACTAAGGCTCCTAAGCTCCTTTTCAAACCTAGATTCTTCCCGAGAGGCCCACTCACCCTCTTGAGCTTCTCCTCCATGTCTTTCTATGAACTCCAATTCCTTTGCAAAACTTCCCGCTTTCTGCCTGAAGCTTTCTTCCGGCGCCAGGCGATGACGTCAAGGGAAAAGGTGGCCTCTGTTGGTATGCAAATCACGCCCATTGAGCCACGCCCCCTCGCAAATCTCAAATCACAGCCTGAAAATGGGGAAGGGTGTGTGGCTTCTCCATTACGTCATTGCGTTGCCGAAAGGGGGCGGGGCTTGTGCGTCAGACTCTCCCCTTTTAAAGTGAGGTTTTTCCTTAAGCGCGTAGGGGGCGTGGCTTCGCTTAAGGGGCGTGGTTACGAGTGGTTACAGTAGCGGGACTGCGAAGGGGGCGTGGCTCCTCCATTGCGTCATTGCGTTGCCGAAAGGGGCGGGGCTTATGAGTCAGGCCCTGCTCTTTCAAAGTATTTATTTATCGTGTCATCCGCAACCAGATCAAAACAAACAAACAGATTTTTTTTAAAAAAACACACACACATTTTGCAAACTTGGTAGCTGATTAAATGTCCTTTGACCAGTATCTGGCCACTTGGAGTGCCTCTGGTGGTTGCTATAAAGAGGTCCTCCATTGTGCATGTGGCAGGGCTTAGGGTGCATTGCAGCAGGTGGTCAGAGGTTTGCTCTTCTCCGCACTCGCATGTCGAGAATTCCACTTTGTGCCCCCATTTTTTAAGATTGGCTCTGCATCTCGTGGTGCCAGAGTGCAGTCTGTTCAGCGCCTTCCAAATCGCACAGTCTTCTGTGTGCCCAGGGAGGAGTCTCTCATTTGGTATCAGCCATTGGTTGAGGTGCTGGGTTTGAGCCTGCCACTTTTGGACTCTCGCTTGCTGAGGTGTTCCAGCGAGTGTCTCTGTAGATCTAAGAAAACTATTTCTTGATTTAAGTCGTTGACGTGCTGCCTGATACCCAAACAAGGGTAAGAATGTAAGAATGGCAAAGCAGCTGGCTTGGATGATCTACGGAAGGAACAAATCAAGAACTTTGGCCCAAAAGCAAAGTGCTGGCTACTGGAGCCGATGAACAACTGCACTGCATCCTGTCAGATCCTTAAAATCTGGAGGAAAGCAAGAGTCATCATCATCTTGAAGCCAGGCAAAGACCGTAACGACCCAAAAAGCTACAGACCAATCTCCCTGCTGTGCCACCTCTACAAAGTTCTGGAGAGACTTATTTTGCATAGAACTATGGAAAAAATAGACCCATGTCTGAGTCCACAGCAAGCTGGCTTCAGGAAAGGCAAAAGCTGCACATCGCAAGTGCTGAACCTGACTCAGCACATAGAAGATGGCTTTGAAAGGCAGCAGATCACAGGAGATGTCTTCATAGACCTGTCAACAGCCTATGATACTGTGAACCACCGCCTCCTCCTGACAAAAATGTATATCACAAAGGATTACCACCTCACCCGCCTCATAGGAAACCTCACCTGCTACAAAACAGGAGCTTTTTTGTTGAGTTCCAGGGCCAGAGAAGCAGATGGTGGAAACAGAAGAACGGCCTGCCTCAGGGGAGCGTGTTTGCTCCATCCATGTTCAACATCTACACAAATGACCAGCCATTGCCAGAAGGGACTGAGAGTTTCATCTATGCTGATGATCGTGCCATTACTGCTCAAGCAGGGAGCTTTGAGATGGTAGAACAGAAGCTCTCCAAAGCTCTAGGTGCTCTTACTGTCTATTACAGGGAAAACCAACTGATCCCTAATCCATCTAAAACACAGACATGTGCCTTTCACCTTAAGAACAGACAAGCATCCCGAGCTCTGAGGTTCACCTGGGAAGGAATCGCACTGGAGCATTGCAGCGCACCCAAATACCTGGGAGTCACTCTGGACCATGCTCTGACCTACAAGAAGCACTGCCTGAATATCAAGCAAAAAGTGGGACCTAGAAACAATATCATACAAAAGCTGACTGGCACAACCTGGAGATCACAACCAGACACAGTGAAGACATCTGCCCTTGTGCTTTGCTACTCTGCTGCTGAGTAAGCATGTCCAGTGTGGAACACATCTCACCACACTAAAACAGTGGATGTGGCTCTTAATGAGACATGCCGCATTATCACAGGGTGTCTGCGCCCTACACCACTGGAGAAATTACACTGCTTAGCCAGTATTGCACCACCTGACATCCACCGGGAAGTAGCAGCCAATAGTGAAAGGACCAAGGCGGAGACATCTCCAGCTCATCCCCTGTTTGGGTATCAGCCAGCACGTCAATGACTTAAAACAAAAAATAGTTTTCTAAGATCTACAGAGACACTCGCTGGAACACCCCAGCAAGCGAGAGTCCAAAAGTGGCAGGCTCAAACCCAGAACCTCAATCAATGGCTGATACCAAATGAGAGACTCCCTCCTGGGCACACAGAAGACTGGGCGGCTTAGAAGGCACTGAACAGACTGCGCTCTGGCACCACGAGATGCGGAGCCAATCTTAAGAAATGGGGCCACAAAGTGGAATCCACAACATGCGAGTGCAGAGAGCAAACCACTGCCCACCTGCTGCAATGCACCCTGAGCCCTGCCACATGCACAATGGAGGACCTTCTTGCAGCAACACCAGAAGCACCCCAAGTTGCCAGATACTGGTCAAAGGACATTTAACCAACTACCAAACTCACAAGTTTTGTATTTTTCTCTTTGTTTGCTTTGTTCTGTTAGAAATGTAATACAATTGACTGGTTGCTGTGACACAACAAATAAATAGCGTGGAGGGGGCGTGGCTTCGCTTAAAGGGGCGTGGGTACAGTGGCTGGCCCGCAAAGGGGACGTGGCTTCTACAATACGTCAGTACGTTTCCAAAAGCCGACGTGACTTCAGCATCAGACCCACCCCTATCAAGGGCACGACTCTCTTCAAGCGGTGAGGGGGCGTGGTTTCCCCCCAAAGGGGCGTGGTTACAAGGCGGCGTCTTCATTGGATAGAGGCTACACGGGAAGGGGGCGTGGCTTCCGCCTGCGCCGTTTTCATTGGACAGGGGCGGCATGGGAAAGGGGAGTGGCTTTCTCGGCGGCCATTTTGTCCGCGGTCCCTTGCTGAGGCGGCGGAGGAAGAGGTTGCAGCAGTTCCCCGCGGGCACCCCTCCCGGCCTCGTTGTTTGCTCCTTCCAGGCCCAGCCATGCTCTCCGTGCGCGTCGCCGCCGCCCTCGCCCGCTCCCTGCCCCGGCAGGCCGCCTTGGTGAGTCCCAGAATCGGGGAAAGGCAGGAAGGCCTGGGGAAGCGGGAGAGGCGTCCAGGCCGCATCGGCGCCGCCATCTTGGGGGTGACATTGACAGGCAGGCTGCTGCTGCTTCTTCGCCCTTTGTAGGCCCCTTCTTCTGCCACACGCAGCCAGTCTTTACCTTTGTGTTCCTGCAAGCCGACAGTGAGCCCCTTTTTGAAAAATAAATCCTCCATGAATGGGTAGATTGGAAACTGGTTTCATTAAAGTAAAGGTGAAGGTTTCCCCCGACATTAAGTCCAGTTGTGTCCGACTCTGGGGGTTGGTGTTCATCTCCACAAGAAGAAATGAAGTTTTGGACAGAGAATATAAAAAAAAGTGGCACAGGGGGAGGGGTACACTTTTTATTTTTATTTTTATTTATTTACTTCATTTATTGACCGCCGCTCTCAGCCCTAGGGCGACTCGCGGCGGTGTACAACATATAAAAGCAATTACAAAAGGCAAGAACAACAATAACAATATTACAGCTAATACAATTACAACTAAATGGTCCGCTTCGTCTCATCTTAGAATCATAGCCAAGTCCATAGTCCGTATTCCGTTCCCGTCGTCAGTTACCGATTAATGCACTTAATTAAATGCCTTCTCGAAAAGCCATGTCTTCAAGCCCTTTCGGAAGGACATCAGGGAGGGCGCCTGTCTGATGTCAGCAGGGAGGGTGTTCCACAGCCGGGGGGCCACCACCGAGAAGGCCCTCTCTCTCGTCCCCGCCAGATGTGCCTGTGAGGCAGGCGGGATCGAGAGAAGGGCCTCCCCAGACGATCTCAAGGCCCTCGTGGGCTCATAGGCCGAGATGCGGTCCGAAAGGTATTTTGGGCCGGAACCGTTTAGGGCTTTGTAGGATAACACCAGCACCTTAAATTGGGCCCGGTAGCAGATCGGCAGCCAGTGGAGCTGGGACAACAAGGGCGTTGTGTGCTCCCTGCGTCCCGCTCCAGTTAGTAACATGGCTGCCGCGCGCTGGACCAGCTGAAGCTTCCGGGCCGTCTTCAAGGGCAGCCCCACGTAGAGAGCGTTGCAGTAGTCAAGGCGGGATGTGACCAGAGCGTGTACCACCGTGGCCAAGTCGGCTTTCCCAAGGTACGGGCGCAGCTGGCGCACTAAGCTGAATGATAGAAATATAGACAATAGCGGAATATAGATACTAAATAGGAACATAGATACTAAAGGGAACAATATGTCTGCTGTATTACAAATGTATCACAATTGTACTAAATCATTTATATAATCAAATAAAATATTTTTTAAGAAAACAAGCATTGCATAAATAAACAAGTAAGTATAAAACTGATACAATAAAGGGAACGTAAGCAGCTAAATGATTTTAGACCAATAGCTTAGGTAAAAGTTGTCCTCTGACATTAAGTCCAGTCATGTCTGACTCTGGGGTGTGGTGCTCATCTCCATTTCTAAGCCGAAGAGCCAGCGTTGTCCATAGACACCTCCAAGGTCATGTGGCCAGCATGACCGCATGGAGTGCCGTTACCTTCCCGCCGGAGCGGTACCTATTGATCTACTCACATTTGCATGTTTTTGAACTGCTAGGTTGGCAGAAACTAGAGCTGACAGCGGAAGCTCACGCCACTCCCCGGAATCGAACCTGCGACCTTTTGGTCAACAAGCTCAGCAGATCAGTGCTTTATCCCACTGCGCCAATAGCTTAATTCCCACCAATAGCTCAATTACACCCATCTGACCTTTGTTTAACCTCCCTTTTGTAACACCTGAGCTGATTATAAGAAACAGAAAATTATAATCCAACAAACTGTGAATTAATAAAGTGAAAAATGTGAGTTGTGAAGTAATGGATTAGAAACTAACCAACTGTGAGGTAGGTCAATTGCACATCTCAAGCCATTGTTTGGACATCCCTAATGTGAAGTGAATTTCAGCCTTGACGTCACACCTGGGGATGGGTGAAATATGTCAAGTAGTCCCATTACTTCAAAGAATGAGCTTGACTTGAATAAGCACAAAACAAAAGCAGACAATTTTTTCATCAAATATTTGTCATCCATAATGTGCAGCGTATGCGTATCTAACAAATGGCTGTAATTTGTGCAATTGTCATTGCATGCATACTGAGGATTATGACAGTAATATCATATTAACTCCCCCCTCCCCAAATAGGTTTTTGATGTGGCTTGCAACTAATTTTTAAAAATACTTATTTCATGTCAAAAGCATTGCATAAATAAATAAGTATAAACTGCTAAAATAAAGGTAGCAAAAATAGCTAAATGATTTTAGACCAAAAACCAGCAACAGCCCCCTTGTCTGTGGCTTTAAGCAGTTCTTCCTCTATGCATGAGGCAGGGCATTGTAGGCAAGCATACAGATATGGAGTTGTTTGTTCTGCTCCACAGTGGCACAAGGTGGAAGATTCTTTTAGGTCAGGCATGGACAAACTTCATCCCTCCAGGCGTTTTGGACTTCAACTCACACTATTTCTAAAAGCCGGTGCTTTGCTGAATGAACACCAGGCTATATTTCAAGGGAGATCATAAAAAGTTCCACTGAGTATTCCTTACCAACAAACTCAATGCCATTCATACAGTTGTCAATGTCAACAAGCGACTTGAAGACGCACACTCCATATCAACCTCCTATTTTATCAGATAAATTCAGGATAGGAATGGAAAACAAGAACTCCTATGTATCTCAGATTTTTGTTTTAGTGTGGTACTGATAGACGATAAGGGTAAGAATAATAATAACTGTTAGAAAAGGTGCAATGATTTCTTTTCTCATTGCATTGGATCAGTTGAATTGTATCTCAGTCAGAAGTGTAGCAGGGGCATATTTCACCAGGCTGCTTTGGTTAAGCTCTCCTGCTGGAACTTCTATTATGTGAATGACCATTTTTATTTTTATTCTGTGCCAGAGACTAGTATTCTTGTTTATGCCATTGACTTGCATTATTTCCTAGAATTTTGCTGTGGACCAGCAGGTCACTCCTTTGAGTAATACTGGTTTGCAGGATGCTGAGAACGTAGTGGAATAGACTTAAAGTGCTGCCACATTTTCCAGTATCCATGACCTTGAAAACTTCTGGGAAGGTGTCCCTGAATGCTCTTAGTGCTTCCTCACTTGTTTAGAAACCTGCAAATAGTTCCTTTCTGATACAACATTTTGATTTCATTTGGGATTGAAGGGAATCCCTTGCGATGCAGGCTTGATTTCTTTATTAATCCTACAGATCAAGTCCAGTATTTAATACAGTGGATTAGACTTGTGTTAGTAGTGGGTCTTTAGAGACATGTGTAAAAATAGTGTGTAATGGGTTGTTGTAGGTTTTTTCAGACCTCACTACCTCTGAGGATGCTTGCCATAGATGCAGGCGAAACATCAGGAGAAAATGCCTCTAGAACATGGCCATATATAGCCCAAAAAAACCTACAACAACCCAGTGATTCCGGCCATGAAAGCCTTTGACAATATTGTGTAATGCTGAGCAGTACATCAGTGGGGGTGTCTGTATTCACAACTGCCACATATTTGATGTTTCATGTAACATATACATTTTGTTACTTTATACAAAGGGTTTTTTGTCTTGTTTTTATTCATTACCAGTGAGATCCTACTTGATACAATATATCCAACATAATACAATATATCCAGCAATATAGTCCTAATTATATTGGTGCTATTATGAATAACTTTTCAGTAACTTTAAAGCAGAGGTTCTTTTTATTGCAATTTTCCAGTAAGCGAAAGGGTATCAGAACTTTTACAAAACAACATTTAGACAAAGAACTACATTGGATTCCACAAGCCTACAGTTACCTTGGCAAACAAACAAACAAAGGGGAATTACATTATTACTCAGCACCCACTTTTACATAAACATCCATCCATCCTCATTTATACATCACCATTCTTCCACCATGAAGAATATCTTTTAGGCCAGACTGCTTCCTTGCAAATCGACTAACGCACAGTTCCAAAACTCCTAAAATGCAACGTTTTCCTAAGCACAAGTACCATTTTCCCTATAGCAATATTTCTGCTGATGTTATAAATAATAGTCCTGTTTGAAATTTTATTGACATTGATGTTTGTCTTCAGGTATTGCACCATTGTGTTCTGAGCTTGACTAAAGTAAACAGAGATCATTTCCTTTATAGTTAATTTGGTTTCTTTTTTTTCGTTATTTTAATATTTTTTATTTTTTTATCATGGTTGAATACATTTGTTATACATTTTTTGTTTTACAGCTGATACATATTATTCAATACAACCTACCATACTTAAACTTTTGGCATCTAGTGTTATTTTTCTGCTTATACATATTATCTATCCCTCACCGCTGTGCTCCCCTCCCCCCCTCCCAAGCCACAGCTTTTACATGTCATCTGTCCAAAATTTCAATTCTTCTTGTGGAGGTAACTTTCCTTCTTTATTTTTTAATCCTTTTTCAATAAATTTCCTCCGTACATCATCAAAATCACTTTGTTTCCACATACCTCTTTTAACTTTTATTATACCTGTCAGCTTATCATTTATTGCCAATTTCCATACTTCCTTATACCACTCTTCTATTTGTCTATTTCTCTTTTCCAGTTCCTTGCTATAAGCAGTCTTGCTATTGTTAATAAATTTGTTATCACATCTTTATCCTCTTTTTTCAATTGTTTATTATTATAAAATGATAATAAAGCTCTACTAGGACTTCTTTCTATTTTAATGTTCATTATATCTTCCATTTCTCTAAATACTGGTCATTCAGTGCTAAAATCAACTCCCATAAATGTAAATCTATACCAGAGAAATGGCTTTCACAAATGTAAGTGGGACATGGTGTTTAATATTAAACTCAAATAATTTCTTCATTGTAGGTTTCCCGGAATGCTTTCGGTGCAACATTTGTTGCGACAAGGAACCTCCATGCCTCCAAAACAAGCCTACAGAAAACCGGTAGGTCATGACAAATACATGCAACCTATCTTTGGTAATAAAATACTGGCCCTGCACTAGATCACAGGGAACAATGAAATTATCTGTATTTAAATCCTGCCAGGCACTGCTGAAGTATCTTCTATTCTTGAGGAACGCATTCTTGGGGCTGACACCTCTGCTGAGCTAGAAGAAACTGGCCGCGTGCTTTCAATTGGTGATGGCATTGCCCGTGTCTATGGCCTGAGGAATGTTCAGGCAGAAGAAATGGTTGAGTTCTCTTCTGGGCTGAAGGTACATTCTCTTTCACTTGGTGCATTAATTGATTTTTAGTGGAAAGTCTTTTCTCTCTTGTATGAGATGATGGGAAAGTATTGAGTCTTTGCTGTGTGAGCAATATCTGCTTTGGGGTGCTATTTGAGTCAGCTTGTCCAGTGTGAGCTTGAATTCTCTTTTTTTCATTAGCCTTTTATCCTAATGTATATATTTAGTAAAATATTTTAATCACTAATGGATTATATTAGTTTTCAAATGTTCATTGTTTAAGTTGAAGAGACCAAAATTTTCACAGATGAATGCGCACGACTCATTTGTTGTAGTTTTTTTGGTAACTTGTATGGACTATTTATGATAGCCATTGTCTAGAATGTCTGATGAATTGATTTTTAAAGCTTATTCTCATTTTTTAGGGTATGTCCTTGAACTTGGAGCCCGACAACGTTGGTGTTGTCGTGTTTGGCAATGACAGATTGATTAAAGAAGGTGACATTGTGAAGAGGACAGGTGCTATTGTAGATGTGCCAGTTGGCGAAGAACTCCTGGGGCGTGTTGTAGATGCACTGGGTAATACCATTGATGGAAAGGTAAGGTGGAGATCATAGTAACCTTTTAGTATCCTGTGGTAAGCGAATATTTTGAAAATCACTTCTTCTTCTTGCCTTAAAGGGCCCAATTGCTTCCAAGACACGCAGAAGAGTTGGTCTGAAAGCACCAGGGATCATTCCTAGAATCTCTGTACGTGAACCCATGCAGACCGGCATCAAGGCTGTAGACAGCTTGGTACCAATTGGCCGTGGCCAACGTGAATTGATCATTGGTGATAGGCAGACTGGGTAAGGAAGTGGTGCCACATGTTCAAACTTTGTTTCCGACAGTTTTGTTTTTCCTCTTAGGAAAGTTTTATATGCAAGAATGTGCAAAGTTGGAATTTCTGAGGACTTCATCTGAAACTTTCCAAACTTTGGGTTTTCAAAAAGTTAAATGTGAAGAGCCAGATACTACCATCCAGGCAAAATGATTTTTCAGTACTTCATTCTTAAAAGCCTCACTATATATACTGACTGTATATTCAGCAGTATTTGTGTTGCTAAATTAGATCTGCAACATGTTTTTTTTTACCCCTGACAAGTTCTTCATCTTTACCAGCTAGATAGATTCAGTCTCCTCTTCCATGCTGCAAATGTGTCATAATTGTTAAATTTTCCATGTTGAAGTGGTTGAGAATTTATTTTGGGCGGGAACTCTCCAAACTGGGTTTCAGCCCAGCTTACCTGTCTGAACGTATCTCCCTCCACAAACCATCTTGGAGGTTAAGATCATCTGGAGAGGCCCTGTTCTCGGTCCCATCCCCCTCGCAAGTGTGACAGGTGGGGGCGAGAGACAGGGCCTTCTCAGGGGTGGCTCCTTGGCTATCAAACTCCCTCCCCAATGAAATTAGATCAGCACCCTCCCTCATGGAAAAAACTAAAAACTTGGCTATGGGATGAAGCCTTTGGGCAGTAAAAAATACAAGGGATGATCAGGGATTATGTGGAATTGATATTTGACATTTGGAACAGTCTTGGACCATGATTTCAGGATTATATGATTTCAGCCTTTATATTAATATGTTTTTAACTGCACGTTTGAATTGTCTAAAAATTGTTAAGTTTTAATGATCTAATTGATAGTTATATGCTATAGTTGCTCTATGTAAGTTTTTATATGTTTGTGAGGCATTAAATTTTACCATAAATGTTGGAAACTACTTTGAGTTGTCCCCGTCCCCACCCCAGGGTGAGAAAAGCGGTGCGCAAGTGAAGTAAAAAAAAAAAAAACCTGAAATTTTCTTAGTGGCAATACCATATTTACTTGAATCTACTGCTCACTTTTTTTCTTTTTCTGTTTCTTTTTTTTTTTTTTTTGCTAAATTACATAGCAAAAGTGAGGTGCATATTATATTTGATTCTGTGTTAGAATCACACATATAACCCACTTGTGCCCTTCCATCAAGTTGAGGCTGGAAAACTCGCCAGCCTTAGCGTAACAGAGGGGCATGATTTTCCAACTGGCCTCATTCACAGGGCCTTCAAAATCGAGGGGGTGGTTTTTAAGGCCTCGTGAATGAGGACTCAGTTGGAAAGCTGCTGCCCATCCACCAGCCGGCAGAAAAGCTGACAGGCAAGGGGAAGCTGCACCTTACATTCAATTATTTATCTATCTATTTTTTTTATTTATTTATCACAGTGCACATCTTCAAAATTGAGGTGCACATTACAATCAATCGCACATTATATGCAAGTAAATATGAGAATTTTTTAAAGCTGTTGTAAGAAAGCACGAATAACCAATTTTGCCTCCCCAATTATAGAAATATAAGGAAAATGATTGCTTTCAGATATTGTAGGCACTAAAAAGATAAATACAATTAAAACATAAAACCAGAAACTATTAAAATGGAAGTCAATTTAATTTAAAACAAAGCAATTTTAAAGCATTGTTAAGAGAAGTCCAAAATCCTACTGATAACAAGCTACATCTGTTAGTCGGCTTTCCAACTAAGGCCCCATGTACAAGGTCTTTGACATGCCTTTATTGCTGGCAGATCTATCCCGTCTTAGTAAGGAGTTCCAGAGCCTTGGTGCAGCCATGTTCTAGATCAGGGATCCTCAAACTACGGCCTGGGGGCCAGGTACGGCCCTCCAAGGTCATTTACCTGGCACTCGCTCAGGGTCAACCTAAGTCTGAAACGACTTGAAAGCACACAACAACAACAATCCTATCTCATCAGCCAAAAGCAGGCCCACAAATCCCATTGAAATACAAATAAGTTTGTATTTGTTAAAATTGTTCTTCATTTTCATTATTGTATTGTTTTTAAGCATTTTTTGCACTACAAATAAGGTATGTGTAATGTGCATATGAATTCATTTTTTTCCAAATTATAATCTGGCCCTCCAACAGTTTGAGGGACTATGACCTGGCCTTCTGTTTAAAAAGTTTGAGGACCCCTGATCTAGATCCTCTCAACGAGGCATCCCTGGATTTAACCAAAGCATAGTTAGAAAACTGCGTTAGCTATGGACAGTTGTAATATGACAATATTCTACCTACTTCTCTATTCTTTCTCCAGCAAAACATCAATTGCTATTGACACCATCATCAACCAAAAACGATTTAACGATGGAACTGATGAGAAGAAAAAGCTTTACTGTATTTATGTTGCTATTGGCCAGAAGAGATCCACTGTTGCCCAGCTGGTTAAGAGGCTTACTGATGCAGGTATTGGCATAATGTTCATGCAGCCCTTTCTATGTGGAGAAAATCTTTGTGGAAATGCACAGAAATAAAGCACATGTAATGGGCCTTCCTTGACCAAGAAAACACTATGAAATTTTTTTATAGGCAATTTGAAGGGGCTTATGCATAAGCCTGCGCCTGTGTACTAGTTTCTAATAATGGTTTCTTGAGAGAACTGTCAGTGACATCAGCAGCACAGGAACAGATCAGTCACAGCCACCTAGGCTATAAACTACTTTATTTTACATCTATATACATTAGAAGCTACTTAACACTCAGCACATCGTAAACTTGCTTCTTTACAGTCCGATTGTAACATCGAGAACTCAACTGTTATCAGTACTAGTCCACACCTCCTGCATTCCAGAGTGATGCATGAAGTCCATTTGTTCGACACACTTAATTTATGACCTCTCTAGGAATGCCGTTCCCTCCATGGTTCACTTAACCCTTTCCACATAGGAACACATTACCCTTGGCATATCGCTACTGCATTTTAAACATAAATGCATACTTTGAAATCTACATTATAAATTGCAAACAGCTTCAACAAGAACTACCTAAATTGAGGTCAGCTCCAACTGCAACTCTTTACTGTTTCTTCAGACACAGCCACTGATTAACCTTTTGCTAAGAAAGGCTGTTTTGAGGCCTTCAGTTATAAGAGACTCTATTTCAGTCAACTATGTCATGGTTCAAATATATGATGTGACATCTATTTGAATAAACTAGAAAAAAAACCTAATTTTTCCTTTAGGCAAGTAAGGGAAATGAAGATCGAGCAATGTTGTATTGGGTTTTTCCTGTATTTTTCTGAGAATTCCATAAATGATCAATCTATAGTAGAAGATATAAAAAATTGTCTCTTAGACTCTTTTGTATTCTCAAGGAGAAGCACAGAAGTATTTAGGGATGATCTAACAATGATGGATGTTAGCTAAGCTGCTTCCATGTTCATGTTCAAGAAAACCCAACTTGAATACAATTTATGGTCAATGCTCTTTTTTCAGATGCCATGAAATACACCATTGTGGTCTCTGCCACAGCTTCAGATGCTGCCCCTCTTCAGTATTTGGCTCCTTATTCTGGCTGCTCTATGGGCGAATACTTCAGAGATAATGGAAAACACGCTTTGATTATCTATGACGACTTATCCAAGCAGGTTTAAACTTCTTGTTGCTATTGGGAGGGTGAGCCAAATTTGCAGGTGTTTTTGCCCCCTGCAGTCCATGTAGCAGATATATGAGCCTTGTTCTTATTTCCACAGGCTGTTGCTTACCGCCAGATGTCTCTGCTGCTGCGCCGTCCCCCTGGGAGAGAGGCCTATCCAGGCGACGTCTTCTATCTGCACTCCCGTCTCCTAGAAAGAGCAGCCAAGATGAACGATGCCTTTGGAGGGGGCTCTCTCACTGCTCTTCCGGTCATTGAAACACAGGCTGGAGATGTGTCTGCCTACATTCCCACTAATGTCATCTCTATCACAGATGGGCAGGTAGGATCTCAGAGCATTTGAATCAGGCATGGGCAAACTTAGGCCCTCCTCCAGGTGTTTTGGATGTCAACTCCCACAATTCCTTTATTTCTTAAGTCAGTTTATTGTTCATTGCAGTGTTCCACTACTCTTTGTATCAAGCATCAATTTCGTAATCATAGAATCATAGAGTTGGAAGAGTTGGGCCATCCAGTCCAACCCGTTGCCAAGAAGCAAGAATATTGTATTTAAAGCACCCCCGACAGATGACCATCCAGCCTCTGTTTAAAAGCTTCTAAAGAAGGAGCCTCCACCACACTCCAGGGCTGAGAGTTCCACTTCTGAATGGCTCTCACAGTCAGGAAGTTCTTCCTAGTGTTCAGATGGAATCTCATAATCTTTTTTCATATATATATATATATATACACACACACACACACACACACACACACACACACACACACACACTAGCTTGAGTCTCTGGCATTGCCCGGGTTGTTTGAAAAAGTCAATGTTTTAATTGTACAAAATTCATAAGGTTGTGGATGAACTACAACTCACATCATTCCAGGTTAATCCCCTGAATCTCCATCCATACTTAAAGTTTGTGATGTTGGGCAAGTTTGCTCTGGTTGCATCCTCAGTGGGGTTCAGTGTGCTCTGGCTGTAGGGTAAACTACAACTCCCACTAGGGTGAGTCAGTGCCCTCAAACCCCTTCAGTAGGTTGAGTTAGTCATGGGGGTTCTGTGTGCTAAGTTTGGTCCAGATCCATCATAGGTGAAGGTCACAATTTCTCTAGTTGTGGGTGAACTACAACTCCCAGAAAGGATTCCCCAAACCCCTCTAGTAGTCAAATTTTGGCATATCAGGTATATGGGTCAAGTTTGGGTTTACAGTGCTCTCTAGATGTAGGTGAACTACAACTCCCCCTAATCAAGGTGAATTTATTTTTTTCTTGTGTCATATTTTTTCTTGTGTCATATAATCTCTTAATAGCGTGCAATTCGTTATTTTTATTTCCATCTGGGTGTTTATTTATTAGTTTCGTTAGATGGTCCATATTCATTGTTCCTTTGTTGGTATTTCTTTTGTTCTCCAACATCGGGTATAGATTATTCTAGCAACCATCACTAAATAGTTAAATAGTCTGTCTATTCTAAAAATTACTGGAAACAAATTCAAGAAAAAATTCAGAAGATACTAGACATAAAAGTACAGTTAAAACCGGGATATTTCCTCCTGGAAATCATAGATATAGATATAGAAATGGACAAAAACAGTTTCTGTTTCTATATCTATGATTCCCAGTAGGAAATATTCTGGTTTTAGCTGAACTTTTATGTCTAGTATCTTCTGGATTTTTTTCCTTGAATTTGTTTCTAGTAATTTGTAGCTATTTTGCAGGTTAAAAAAAAAAGTTCCTACATGATCTTCACATTTCCAACATTTATCTTGGACATTAGGGTAACATTTTGCTAATTTCTGTGGTGCTATATACCGTTGGTACAGTAAGCTGTTAGGAACTGTGGGAGTGGAAGACCAAAACTTTTAGTCCCCCCACCTGCTCTGAGTCCCCCCAGGGGTGAGAAAGGTGGTATATAAATACTGTAAATAAATAAATACACCTAGCCAAAGTTTACTCATGCCAGATTTGCATGAGACTTCATAAAGGGGTACGTTTGTTTTTATTGATTCCAATGGAACTCCTTGCAGTAACGCAAATCTAATTCCCTGCAGATCTTCTTGGAAACTGAGCTGTTCTACAAAGGTATCCGCCCAGCCATCAACGTTGGTCTATCTGTATCTCGTGTAGGTTCTGCTGCCCAGACGAGGGCCATGAAGCAGGTACGGATGGAATGATAAGCTAACTGTTCACTTAATCTTTTGTGAAGTAATATCGCTACCTCAAATGGTATTGCCAGGTTAGAAAGGCAAAACAGTTCCAAGCTTCCAAGCACAATTCAAAGTGCTGGCTTTGGCCTATAAAGCCCTAAACCAGTTTACCTGTCTGAATGTATCTTCCCTCTGGGCCTCCAAGGACCTTAAGATCATCTGAGGAGGCCTTGCTCTCGGTCCCATCGACAACGCAGTTGCATTTGGTGGGGTTGAGAGGCAGGGCCTTCTTTGTGATGGCCCCTCAGCTGTGGAACTCCCTCCCTAACGAGATTCAATCTGTTCCCTCTCTCCTGACCTGGAAGAAGCTGAAATCCTGGTTGTGGGAGCAAGCATTTGCAGAATAGACTGACTTGCTGGGGAAGATGAGTTTTTTTAGTGGGCTGCAATGGATTGATTTGGATGACGATTTGTACCAGCGAACTGATTTAATGTATATTTATAACTGTTTTAATTTATGCTAATTGTATTTTATGCTATGTTACTATATTGTATTGGCATTGAATAGTGCCTGTTGGAAGCCATCCTGAGTCTCTTCAGAGGTTGAGAAGGACAGGATAGAAATGTTCTAAATAAATAAATAATAAATAAACAGTTGTATGAGCTCCCTGCTAATAACTTGCTCCTATTTTTATCTCATTAGAGTTTTTAACATTTTATTCTGTACATGTGGACCGCCCACTGATATTGTGATTGTTTATTGTAATGTTATTTTGTTACTGTATTCATATGGGGTTTTTTTTTTCTTACGTAATTTTGATGATGTTGCTTGTTTATGTTTTGGTTTTATTTTGCTGTAATGTGTTGTTCGGGCTTGGCCCCATGTAAGCTGCTCCGAGTCCCCATTGGGGAGAATGTGGCGGGGTATAAATAAAGTTTATTATATTATTATTATTATTGTTGTTGTTGTTGTATTGTCGAAGGCTTTCATGGCTGGAATCACTCAGTTCTTGTGGGTTTTTTCGGGCTATATGGCCATGTTCTGAGGTCTGAGGATGCTTGCCATAGATGCAGGCGAAACGTCAGGAGAAATGCCTGTAGAACATGGCCATATAGCCCGAAAAAACCCACAAGAACTGATTATTATTATTATTATTATTATTATTATTATTACCTCATAATTACATTGTAGTTGGTATAAAACATCTTATACAATAATAAATTCTAATCTTTTGTGCAACAACACTGGCCTTGTTTGCCAATATCAGTTTTGCTAATCTCTTTCAAATTCATGCAAATTTGAAAACCGCCACTGGTAAAAATGATAAAAAGAATCCTATCTGGGTGACTTTTTTCTTGTTTGTCTCTGGCATCTCCTGTAAAGCTGGATAGAGCAGACGTCTGGATCTGTTTCCGGAATCTGTTTCTGTTGCATGGCCAAAAAGTCTTCCCCTCCTGAGTGTGGCTACTTAGAAAGTTGGGGTGGGAGAGGAAGAAGTGGAAATAATGCAAGCGCTGATCTGATACTGAAAACATTCTTTGAGATGGCCATATGCTTGAAACATTGTAACCCCCCCCCCCCCCCCCTTCTTCATACAGAGCGTTAACAGCTCTGTGGCAACTCCTGTAATGAACAAAGTGATGTTATTGTTCAGGACATAGTCTGAAACTGGCAATGCATAGAAAACAGTACATTATTTTATTGTTCTGTAGGTGGCTGGCACCATGAAGCTGGAATTGGCTCAATACCGTGAAGTGGCTGCTTTTGCCCAGTTTGGGTCAGATCTGGATGCTGCTACTCAGCAATTGCTCAATCGCGGTGTTCGTTTGACTGAGCTGCTGAAACAAGGACAGTATGGTAAGAATCCTTGTGTAGAACTACTGTATTAGCCTTTTGCAGTGTTGTACTCCTGATTTTGCAGTGCTGTTCTCCTGTTTTTCCACATTGTAACTGCCAATCATATAAATGACTGTGAATTATATACTCCATTGGGACCTTCAGGATTTTGGGAGGACAGGTATAGCAAGATATAGCAGTCATTTTCTAATATTTAGAACAGGTTTGTATCAAAAGGGATTGCTCAAAATCTTTTCTGACTTAGCCATTCCAGACCTTTCTGTGTAGCCCTGTTTGTTGACTTTTTTCTTCAGAGGTTTTGAAGTACTTACTTAGGCAATCCCTCATAGCTCGAGGATTATTGTTTTCCAGATGTGGTGTCTTGGCGGTGGGTCTGTAGGTGGCTGTGGAGCCCTTTTCTTGATCCGCATGTTCTCCCACAGTGAGGACATCGGTTTCCAGATGTAAGGCAGTCCCAGTCAGCGTTGGCTTGATGTGCCTCCCTCCTGGCACATTTCTCCCTTTCACCCTCTATTCGTGCCTCTTCGAATTCTGCAGCACTGCTGGTCACAGCTGACCTCCAATTAGACTTCCTAGTTCTCGGTGTACAGTTTTAACTCCCCTTTCTTCTTTTCTGGTCTGTCTGCAGCCAGAGAGGAACTTTTTTAATAACAAAGGTTGTTTGGTTTTCCCCTGACATTAAGTCCAGTCGTGTCTGACTCTGGGGGTTGGTGTTCATGTCCATTTCAAAGCTGAAGAGCCAGTGTTGTCCGTAGACACCTCCAAGGTCATGTGGCCAGCATGACTGCATGGAGCGCTGTTACCTTCCTACCTGTTGATCTACTCACATTTGCATGTTTTCAAACTGCTAGGTTGACAGAAGCTGGGGCTAACAGCAGGAGCTCATCCCACTCCTCAGATTCAAACCTGCGACCTTTCGATCAACAAGTTTAGCAGCTCAGCAGTTTAACCCACTGCACCACCGGGGGCTCCCTTTTAATAACAAAAGTGTATTATTTTTTATGGGTTTTTTTTAGAAATCCCTCATGGAAGGGATCAGCAGTGTTAGATAAAGCAATATGCATAACTTCTGTGCAGCCCAGTCTGTCCAGAGTGTGCATAGAGGTGTTTCCTCTCCATATATAACATGCTATGTTCTCTCAAACAGGCAGTGTGATAAATTTTATTGTTGTATTGAGCATCTGGGAAACCAATACAACAATAAAATTACTTTATCACACTGCCTGTTTGTATTGGAAAATGAGCCCCTGGTGGCGCAGTGGGTTAAACCCCTGTGCCGGCAGGACTGAAGTCCGAGAGGTCGCAGCTTCAAATCCGGGGAGAGTGCGGATGAGCTCCCTCTAACAGCTCCAGCTCGTCATGCGGGGACATGAGAGAAGCCTCCCACAAGGATGGTAAAAACATAAACAGAGGCTGGATGGCCATCTGTCAGGGGTGATTTGAATGCAATATTCCTGCTTCTTGGCAGGGGGTTGGACTGGATGGCCCATAAGATCTCTTCCAACTCTTTGATTCTATGATCTGGGCACACCAGAAGCGACTTGCAGTTTCTCAAGTTGCTCCTGACACGACAAAAAAAAATCTGGGAAACCATGGTTTGATTTGCCACTCAGCCATAGAAACCCACTCACTGCTCTTGGGGACGGTTCATTGACGTTTGCGGAAGGCACATTCCTCTGAATAAATTTAACTAAGAAAGGGTTGCCAAAACTCAGAAATTATTTGAATTCAAGCAACAAAAAGGGTTGTTCAGGGATGACACTTTCTTAAATCTATCTGGGAATCCTGTCCAACCTTTTAAGATTTCTGTAGGTTCCTGAGCAGAGAAATGTGTCTCTTGAATGGACCCCTAATCGTCATGAGTTTGAAAAATGAAGGCAATATGCTCCCCTCAGTCAGGTTCTGTTTCCTCAGCCGTGGTGAGAAATGAGGAAGTCAGTAGACAAATGCTCTGACATAGACCCATCTTTTTCTTTTCCCTGCTTAGTTCCTATGGCAATTGAGGAGCAAGTGGCCGTCATCTATGCTGGAGTCAGAGGCCACCTGGACAAGCTGGAGCCCAGCAAGATCACCAGGTTTGAGAGAGCTTTCCTGGCTCACATTCTGAGCCAACACCAGGCCCTCCTTGCCACAATCAGGTACGTATATATTGCTTCGCAGGGGGATAGGATACAAATTAGACTTCCAAACTGGCAGTGAATTAGTCATTCATCTTCTCAGGGACTGAGCGTCTTGATAACCTTTCTAAGTTTCAGCAAAACAGTAATTTCCCTTTAAAGCTAGATCTTAGCTGCCATTTATTTTCCGGGCCCAATTCAAGTTGCAGGTTTTGACCTACAAAGCCCTAAACGGTTTGGGATAGCCTACTTGCGCGACCGCATTTCCGTCTACGAACCCATGCAACCTCTTCAATCTTCTGGAGAGGCCCTTCTCTCGCTCCCGCCTTCATCGCAAGCGCGACTTGTGCGGATGAGAGAAAGAGCCTTCTCTGTGGTGGCCCCTCGGCTCTGGAATTCGCTCCCTAGCGATATTAGGCAAGCCCCCATCCTGGAAATCTTTAGGAGGAGCCTGAAAACTTGGCTATTCCAATGTGCCTTCAATGACTGAATGTATGATAATCCCTGACCAAACTGCATAAAATGTCCTCAGAAGCACTTTATTCTTTGGTTTGTGCAATGAACTCTTACCTTATCCCCCGGATCCCCTTTATTCTTTGGTTTGTGCAATGAACTCTTACCTTATCCCCCGGATCCCCTTTATTCTTTGGTTTGTGCAATGAACTCTTACCTTATCCCCCGGATCCCCTTTATTCTTTGGTTTGTGCAATGAACTCTTACCTTATCCCCCGGATCCCCTTTATTCTTTGGTTTGTGCAATGAACTCTTACCTTATCCCCCGGATCCCCTTCCTGATATTTTACACTGCCCTATCTCCCGGTGTTTTAAAATTTTAGTCTTTGAACTGGCACTGCCCATTGTGTTCATTTTTAGTGGTTTAATGTTTTGATTTTATATTGTTGTGCTGCATAATTTACATACGGTATTTTTGTATTTTATGTTATTTTATTTTTTGATTTTCTGTTGTGTTTTTGTGTGATACTGTGTTTCTGTATTGATGGGTGTGGCCTCATGTAAGCCGCCCCTAGTCCCCTTTGAGGAGATGATGGCGGGGTATAAATAAATAATAATGATAATAATAATTATTATTATTTTAGTTGAAGAGCTATTACAAGAGCTTCCCTATGTTTGAATGCATCATTAGAATACAGTATTGTGCTTTATTAAACTGCTATGGGGGCGAATGAACTTTCTGAATGTGTTTTGATGTGGAGCATTTGGCTCGGTAAAAGAACAAGCAAATGTCAGCTTGAATTTCACTTTGGTTTTGCCTTGTGACAGGACCGAGGGGAAGATCTCTGAACAAACAGAAGCCAAGCTGAAGGAAATAGTCACAAGTTTCCTATCCACATTTGAAGCATAAGCAAACGATTAACAGTCCTACCGTCGTCCCAGGCTATTTTTGTCACCGAGTAGTGGCAGTGCTCTGGCTCCATTTTTTCCCCCAGAGACATACAAGGTCTGTGTGAGTTCAAAGTATGGCCTTCGCTGAGAATTAAAGGCTCCATTTCAAGAAGTCTTGTGGACACAATCCAGGCTGTGAAGGAGATCTGCTGACAGCCTATATCAGTGTGTACAGAAGTACGTGGTGAATAAAATCTTACAAACAATACGAATTTGCTTCTGAGTTTTTAATAGAACTTCACTTAACGCATTGCATAAGAATTTCTCTGACTTGGTCCCGTGCATTATCAACTTAAGAGCAAACATTCCTCTGGAATACATTCACAGGTTTCTCATTCAACCTTGGAGTTTAAATTTTTGGGAAGAGTCCAAACAGTGGTTAGTAGGCTTCGTTGCATAATCCATTGCTAAAGCCACTCAAGTCTATTCAAAAAACTCCAAAATTAGAACAGTAAATAATGAGCAACACTCTGAAAACAGGGGAATTCCAGACAGGACACAATCAGGACCAGCTAACACCTCCCAACAAAGGATTCCCTCAGGCATGAAGCAGCCAGGCTTTGAAGCTGCAAGGCCATTCAATGCTAATCAGAGTGGCCAATTGCAACATTCACACTTTCCTCAAACAGACAAGAGTTACTTGTTCCATCCAGGACCTTCCACAGATACATAAACCACTTGCCTAATTTCCAATGTACTTCACAACCTCTGCCATAAATGTGGATGAAATGTCAGAAGAGAATGCTTCGGGAACATGGCCACAGCCCAGAAAATTCTTAGCAACACAGTCCAAACAGTGGTTAGCAGGCTTCATTGCATAATCCATTGCTAAAGCCACTCAAGTCTACTTTTTAAAAAACCTTCCAAAATTAGGACAGTAAATAAAGAACAATACTCTGAATACAGGGGAATTCCAGACAGGAAACAATCCGGGCCAGGTAACAACTCCCAACAAAGGCTTTGAAGCTGCAAGGCCATTCAATACTAATCAATGTAGCCAATTGCAACATTCTCATTTGCCTCAAACTATAGTTACTTCTCCCACCCTGGACCTTCCACAGATATATATAAACCACTGGCCTAGTTTCCAACATACCTCACAACCTCTGAGGATGCCTGCCATAGATGTGGGTGAAAGGTCAGGAGAGAATGCTTCTGGAACATGGCCAGACAGCCCACAAAACTCACAGCAACCCAGTCCAAACAGTGGTTAATATTTCATTGCTAAAGCTACTCAAGTCGATTAAATTGGGAAGGAGAAGTGCAGTGTTTGTAACTTGGCCATGGTCAAATTGAACAACTCTGCAATCCCAAGGGTTTTGTTGACCAAAATAGTCATTTCAAAATTGCTTGCGCTCTTCTGTTCATTATTCTATGTCCCTGCAGAACAAGTGGTTCTGGCTTGACAGAAGGGCTGTTTGCTATCTTGAAAAAGTGTTGTTAAAAGATAGCCAGTACAAGCATATTTTTCAAGAAGTGTCAACTATATGCAGTTTTGTCCCCTAGGATAGGAAGCGAAAGTGAGAAGAGTCGCCAAAGACCATCAGAAAACACATTTCTGATGGTATTAGGAACAGAGTGATCTCCGAAGGTCGGTGAATTACATCTCCCCTAAATCACTACCAATTCCTCCCAAATCCCTCCAGTATTTTCTGTTGGTCATGAGGATTCTATGTGGGAAGTTTGGCCCAATTCTATCATTGGTGGAGTTCAGAATGCTTTGATTATAGGTGAACTAAATCCCAGTGACTACAACTCCCAAATGCCAGGGTCTATTTTCCCCAAACTGCACTAGTGTTCACATTTGGGCATATTGAGTATTTGTGCCAAGTCTGGTCCAGATCCATCATTGTGCCCACAGTGCTCTCTGGATGAAGGTGAACAACTCCAAAACTCAAGGTCAATTCCCACCAAACCCTTCCAGAATTTTCTGTTGGTCATGGGAGTTCTGTGTGCCAAGTTTGGTTCAATTCCATTGGTGGTGGAAATCAAAATGCTATGATTGTAGATGAATACCAACAACTACAACTCCCAAATGATAAGATCAATCCCCCCTTCCCCCAAAAATCCACAAGTATTCAAATTTGGGCATATCAGGTATTTGTGCCAAATGTGGTCCAGTAAATGAAAATACATCCTGCATGTCAGATATTTGCATTACAATTCATTACAGTAGCAAAATTACAATTATGAAGTAGCAATGAAAAGGATATTATGGTTGGGGTCACCACAACATGAACTGTATTAGGGGCTTGCGGCATTAGACAGGTTGAGAACCACTGCTCTAGAGCCTTTCCTTAAACCTTTGGCATCCTGACTTACACTCCCAGGAGAACCATAGCAATGTATTCCTTGAACCCAGAGCCCTTCAGAATTCAATTAAAAGATTATCTGGACTGCAGGCATACCTTCACATTGCAGTGGTGATCTAAACATTTCTACTGTTCATCCTCTTTTGCTTGTGACAAAAGAGCAGTTGGATGAGATTGGTGGGAGCAGGCTGAAATGACCAAACCAAAAATGCTGCCTAATGTATCTTGAACACTGAAGTTGAAGATATAAAGAAATTTACCAGGAGAGGAATCTAGAGCTGGGAGAAATAGCAGTGGGAAGAAATGGACAAAAAGATAGAGACACAGAGAGTACTTCAAAATGAAAGATGCCAGATTGCTTCCAAATTTTATGCCCTATTCTATTTCAAAACCTTGGTTATTATCCTGCTACTCCATGTGGGTTGCTCTGTTACCTGAAGAATAATTCTTATCTTGTGTCTTCCAGCTTGTTTATCTGGTTCCCTCTTTGCTTCATCCTGAGCACCCACATAAAGCCTTCCATGTGCTGACTTTTTGCACAAATTTGTTCACTGGGTGAAAGTTATCAGTTGCAAGGGTTCAGCCTTTGGTGAATCAAGTCAGTGCGAGGAACCACCAGGTCTATGTTTCTTTTTTAGATCAGTTTGATCCAATGATGATATGCTCTTTTCTCACATCCCTTTTTTGTCATATAGGGCCACAATTCACGCAACACTGGGTTTTCTCCTCCAACTAAACATCTGGGCATTTTGGGCCACTTGTAAGAAATGCTCAAGAGCATTAACATTTCTGACCCTATAAACTAAATAAACAGTGGAAGAAAAAAACCACATGGGATACATCTCTTGCAGTAGGGTATCGGAGGGGTGACTGGATTGACCTTGAAGGAGCTGGGGGTGGTGACAACCGACAGGGAGCTCTGGCGTGGGTTGGTCCATGAAGTCCCGAAGAGTCAGAAACCACTGAATGAATGAACAACAACATTGGAGGGGTGGGCAGGGGAGGTATTGCTTTGACCTGTGGCAGGCATGTAGCCGCCCCCCCCCCCGAAATTCTCATAGTGGTTCGCGAAAAGGCTTTACTGGTGCATTATTTAAACTGTTATGTTTATTCATATCATGATCTGATCACCATACTCAATATATCCCATATGCATGGGGCTATTGGGGTAATGATACAAAAGGTTTGCTAGGGTAGACCCTCTTTCACTCAGACTCAGCTCCCCGCCCCCCGAAACTCAGCCCCCCCGAAATCCCCCTGAAAAAAACTCAGCCCCCCCCCCCTCCCAGAATCGAAATCCTGGCTACGGGCCTGACCTGTGGTGATCACTGATGATCTTGCTGCAGTTCAGAGGTATTACAATTAACTCAAACTGTCCTTAATAGGCTGACTTAGTCTGCAGTTTACGCTTGGACCTTTGAACCATGCAAACAACCCTGCTTCTCTGCTCAGGGAAAGCTGAAATGGTGCCACTGCAGCTTTTCCATCCGAGGGCTCTACTGTAAGGAATCTTGTGTGTACAAAACAAAGCAAGAGCTACTCACTGACAAATAATAAGCAGTAAATCCAGCAAATATTTCTTCATTGGAAAAGTCAGACTGAAAGATGACAGTCAAGCTATTGTAGGGGACATCAAATTCTTTCAGGAAATTAGAGCCAGGATTTTGTCTTGTCTTCCAACCACAAAGTTGGCCCTCAAAGTTGGCTACCAAACATGGCCTGAAAGTGACAGACAGATACATACCTTGGTCTCAACAATTGAAATGTTTTTGTTGTTGTTGTTTATTTGTTCAGTCACTTCCGACTCTTCGTGACCTCATGGACCTGCCCATGCCAGAGATTCCTGTCTGCCATCTCCACCCCCAGCTCCTTCAAGGTCAACCCAGTCACTTCAAGGATGCCATCCATCCATCTTGCCCTTGGTCAGCCCTCTTCCTTTTTCCTCCCAGTTTCCCCAGTATCATTATCTTCTCCAAGCTTTCCTGTCTTCTCATGATGTGGCCAAAGTACTTCATCTTGGCCTCTAATATCCTTCCCTCCAATGAGCAGTTGGGCTTTATTTCCCAAAATATGGACTGGTTGGATCTTCTTGCGGTCTGAGGCACTCTCAGAATTTTCCTCCAACACCACAGTTCAAAAGTATCTATCTTCCTTTGCTCAGCCTTCCTTATGGTCCAGTTCTCTTTTTCATAGGTTACTGCAGGGAATACCATTGCTTTAACTATGCTGGTCTTCTTTGCCAGTATGATATTTCTACTCCTCACTATTTTATCGAGATTGGTCATTGCTTTCCTCCCAAGAAGTAAACTTCTTCCTGTTTCCTGGCTGCAGTCTGCGTCTGTAGTACTCTTTGCACCTAGAAATGCAAAGTCTGTCTCTGCCTCCATGTTTTCTCCATCTGTTTGCCAGTTATCGATCAGTCCAGTTGCCAGAATCTTGGGGGCGGGGGGTATCTTTAACTGCAACCCAGCTTTTCCACTTTCATCTTTCACCTTTGAAATTGAAATGTATTATCGCTGATTGTTAGAATTCCAGAATAATAAAGTCACTAAGAGTTTTTCTGGTTGTTCAGAGATCTTGTAGATTCTAAAATATGATGAAAAAATACCTGGAATGAACTTTCAATGACTATCTAAAATTCCAGTAGCACTTTGACCTAAGATATACTTCTCCCACTTGTTTCATTGATTTATTAGCACATTTGAAAGCAATAGCCATAGCACAAAATGACTATAACACAGATTTCCTATGTTGTCTGTATAGTGTGAGAATGTAAGGTTATGTAATTTACAGTTAGAGCACTACTGATTCACAAGCACAAATTGCAATTGAAAGGATGAGTACAGAAGTGAATGTGAGATTGCACAATGAACAATGATTTGAATAGGACAGAAGA